TTAATGAAATACATAGAGAACACACTGATCTTCCCTAAGCCTACATACTGATGAAGAAGGGATTTGCAGAGACACAACGATATAACCAAACAAAGCTTTGTTTTGAGCCATTTGAAGACAACCAAAAGGAATTCCCGCACAACAAACATGAAGACGGGCTTCTTACACATTTGGCGATGGCTCGAAAACAAAATATGGCCTTCTCCAGATAAGATGAATCTCTTTCAATGTTTTGTTTTTTGTCCATATTAACCAGGTTGAATTAGCTTAAAAAACCAACTCAAAAGCCGTCAGACAAAGCGAGAACCGCAAAGACCATTCAAACCTTTCAATCGCCATAACAAGATAACCAAACACTAAAAGATTAAAGCCAAATGGCCTTATACTAATACTATAAAGATAAATAACAAGCCGAAAGCTCCATCTCCACTCTAGACTTATGTTCTCTAGAAGAAGAGAAGCAAAACCCCAACAAGGGAAGCAAAATCTCAACGAAAGCCTCAATAGAGAGAGCATATTACCAGACTTAACAACAAGACAAAAGCCAATACCCTAAAGAAGATCGACTTGGCCAAACGAAATCAGGAACCACGGCAGAGACAGAGACCAAACTAACCCCGTAGACCACCAGGTCCACCACAAAACCGACGCCACGCAACAGTTCTGTTGTTCACAAAAACCACCTCTCCGAACACAACCTCTTCGCAGACCTACAACTCTAACACCAACGAAAAAGAAGGTAGGAGGAAGAAATTGACTGGAACCCACGAAACAAGCTAATCCATAGCCGTAAACTTCCAATGAATCTCAGACGAGGACGGATCTGCCAAAGACGAAACCGTCAAATCTGAGAACTCCACAACCACAAAGAACCCTAAAATCAATGGTCGCGTCTATCAACATTGCAAGGATCATTGGCAAGCTAGAAAAAAAAATAAGCTTTTATATATATAGGGTCTCACGACGCCGGCGAAAACGCGCTGGACGCCGGAGAAAACGATGGCTCTTATTCATAACGAGTAAAAAAAAATTAATCGTATCCACTAAATATATAAGAGCGTGACATTCACGTACAAATAAACGCGCGTATGATACGAAGACTCCGACTCATAACAAAAAAAATTCAAGTCAAAAATTTTCTTGCGTTGAATGAATTGAATCAGGCAAAAAAAAAAAAAACTTTACGATGATGATGATGAAAGGGGTCTCACTTTCTCAATCGACTAGTTTCCATCGAAACAAGATCGATTTCAATAGACCAAAGCTTCCGATCATCATTGTGAATCCAACCCCATCTCGATTTGCCCGCACCGTTTCCAGAAGATCACTCCCTGTTCTCTCTCTCTCCGTCGATTCCCACGCGCCGCCGCTTGTGGTCGTCGGATCTGCGAACGCCGACATCTACGTGGAGATCGATAGATTGCCCAAGGAAGGTGAAACGATCTCGGCCAAGACTGGTCAAACGCTCGCCGGAGGAAAAGGCGCGAATCAGGCGGCCTGTGGAGCCAAGCTGCTTTATCCGACTTACTTCGTCGGCCGTTTGGGAGATGACGCGCACGGGAAGCTTATCGCAGATGCGTTGCGCGATGGGTGTGGAGTCCACTTGGATTACGTTAAATCGGTGACGGACGAGCCGACGGGGCACGCGATGGTGATGCTGCAATCGGACGGTCAGAATTCGATCATCATCGTTGGTGGTGCTAATATGAATGCTTGGCCTGAGAATATGACCGATGATGACCTTGAGATCGTGAGGAATGCTGGTATTGTTCTGCTGCAAAGAGAGATCCCAGATTCCATCAATATCCAAGTTGCTAAGGTCAGATACAATATTGATGAATTGTTCGTCTTCCAATTCAATTTTGATGACACTCAAGTTTACACTTCAGTGGAGAATGGATGCATCTTTAGGTTTTGGTAATGCAATGGTTTCTTGAAAACGATGGGAGATTTCGGAATAGGATTATAGATTTGATCATATTGTCTATACGATTGCTAATGCAGATGCTTGGGTCGTTTCTCTAAGGAATCTTAGGTTGCTGCAGGCTGTGAAGAAAGCAGGTGTTCCGGTCATCCTCGATGTGGGAGGAATGGATACGCCAATCCCGAAGGAGCTATTGGATTCTGTTGACATCTTGAGCCCGAATGAAACCGAGCTCAGTCGCTTGACCGGAATGCCAACTGAAACTTTTGAACAGATTAGCCAAGCTGTTGCAAAGTGCCATAAGTTGGTAGGTCCCTTCTGTGAAAAAGATGGTTTTAGTGGGTTCTGTTTTGGGTGGTTGATAAAGGTGATTGCTATATGTTTTCTCAGGGAGTTAAGCAAGTCCTAGTGAAACTCGGGTCTAAAGGATCTGCGCTATTCATACAAGGGGAAAAACCGATCCAGCAGTCAATTATACCGGCTGCACAAGTCGTTGATACTACTGGAGCCGGCGATACTTTCACAGCAGCGTTTGCAGTGGCCATGGTAGAGGGCAAGTCCCATGAGGAATGCTTGAGATTTGCTGGTAATAATTAGTTACAAATTCAAAGAAGTCTACAGTTTCCTAATCCATATATTCAGATTAGTTTTGTCTCATTTCCAGTTCCATCTTCTTCTTTTCCCGTGCTTACAGCTGCAGCTGCCTCTTTGTGTGTCCAAGTAAAGGGTGCAATACCAAGCATGCCTGATCGAACATCGGTCTTGAAACTTCTTCAAGCGAGTATCTAAAAACGATACTCTTTTAACTCTTCTTATCAATAAGAGCTCTTCAGATCGCGAGGGAAGAGGTTGAAGCTGACGACGGCACTGAGTGGTTGCATTAGCTACACCAAATCAACGATTGTGTAATGTAGTCACTCTCTTTGAACATCAATTCCTTTTTAACTTGTCTGAATCTTGTGTGTTGGCTAATTTCATCGTACTCAAAGTTATCCAACACAATGTTCATAAAACAAACTAATCTAATTCCTCTTTGGAACTGACTTATCGGATCTAATCACATTTATACCAATAATGAAGATAAATCAAATACAACAAACGACACGATCACTTCAGACAACTCGGAGGAACCATCTTGCCACGCGCAGAACCTTTAACGTTCTCACACAATGCGGTGGCTGGACCGCCAGGACCATTGTGCGTTATGTTGATGTTAATTAGCTGAATATCTTTGCACGGGAAGCTTTTGCTACATTGCAGATTCACTGCCACTTTGTTCGTCGATGTTCCCCAAATGCTTTTTAACGTCACGTTTCTGATCTGAACATGAGAGTCTCCCTGCAAAAACATCGATCCAATCAAACTATAGAGGGAAATTAAGGAAAGAGAGGTTTGTTTCTTTCGTAGGAAGTTAACCAATTTCGGGCACGGCAGACAAGGACAATACTTCTGGTCAATGTTGATTGGGTATTGGACATCAATCATCTGGATATTCTCGAATAAGAATTGCGAAACAGTGATCTCTGTAACCGGGGATTCCCATGTCTTGAACCTTACACCGTCCATTGTCCTGGTAAAAACCGTGTCCCTAACCCTAATTAATACCCTCGATGTTCTTCTCTCCTTTGTATTTCCCCAAGCTTCCGACACTAATCCCATGTCCAGGACCGCAAGTGATGTTTTAGATATCGAAATTAGTGTTCCTGGAGAGGATTGCAATACAATCGTCTCCGGTGCCGATGTGACTGTTCCATATCTTCATGTTGCTGGAAGAACCAATCTTGATTCCGTCGGTGTTGGGGCTGTTTCCGGGAGCTGCTATGTTGACTCCAGTGATGTTGAAGTGATCGACGGCGAAGAAGTTCAAGTGTCCCGCTTTGCTGTTGACTGATTTTAGGCTCGTAATTCTCGAGTTTCTCACGAAATCAAATCCCATGTTCTACAAAATGTAGAAAGATTTTATGAAAATATGTACGTAGTATGATAATTTCCCCGGCCCATTATATATAGACTTATAAAAATTGTATGCTAATCTTGATAAATGTTTTTACAAATCACATTGACAGTAATATTTTACCAAAAATGTCAATTTACAAGTTTTCTTAGTTTATTTCTCTCTAAATATATTAATCAAATATAACAATATATGAAATGAATTTTTAAAAATCGTAGTTTCAAAAAAAAATAAAAATTAAAATCGTACCGCTGGTAGTACTCTATTATCTGTATTAGTTTCGCAGTGACGGAAGGACCAAGATCGACTTCCTTGGCCGTCGATTGTACCACCACCGGAGACGACGAGATTATCAACGTACCGGAAATTTATCCAAGAGTCTTTTTTGATTTCGTTGGCAGCCATAGGAGCCAGTAAGGTTCCTTTGATGAAGAAGATGATATTACCTTTGCATGGTCCCTTGAACATTACATCACTCATGTTGAACGTTTCTTTTGGTATGTATATACTATTTCTTCCACTTTGAGCGCATGCATCTTTCCACGCTTTTATGAAAGCCTACAATACCATATATAGTGGTTAAAAAACTAATCATAATTCCATATTACGTATACTTGAAAGGAATTAGATTTGTGTTTTTTTCTGTTTTTTATCAACTGATTTGTGTTTATTTCTTTCCTCGTCCAAAAACCCAAAATTTTGTGGTATACAATTCAAATATGTATACTTAGACCGCAAACCAGAATCAATTTTTTTTTAAAACATAAAAAAAATTGAATACGAAACAAAAGGATGGTTTTAGCTCTAATTTCATCAAATTAGTTAAGAAATAGCTAGATTAAACGTGTAAGAAAAATTTAATGTAAATTAGCATTATCAGTTTCGCCGTTGCCTTTAGCACCGTAATTTCGGACGTCGAAGACCGTGGCTGGAAGGCTTGCGACTACG